ATTGACTGATAATGAATTGACCGGTGATATTCGATATCGTTGGATCAAATTTGCTCTATTCATTCTTGCATCAACCATACTGTTTTGACATCTGGATACGTGCAGTGCCTTGTAAACTGTTAATTTCTGCAATCTCTAAATCAGTCTGATGATGATACCATCCATTTGCAAGAACATCAAAAGCAGGATTTGTTGAATCACCTCTAGGAGCCTTGCACATACAACAGCCAAAGTTTGCATTATGGTTTTTAACTCCAGCATATATATTTCCTTGAGGTAGATCAGCAGTAACACACCCCAGACCAGCAATAACTCAAGCATCACCTTCTGCACATTTCATCCACATTTCTTTCTGCAGTAGGTCTAACTCCTCTACAAATGGTTTGATAAAATCTTTAAAGTTACCTCCAAATGGTACAAAGCCAACTGGAAAGTGGTTCTTTATCTGTCTTCTCATCTCTTTTGTCATATTTCCAAATTGCACATATACACCCCCAAGACTATGGGTGCTTATTCATGATGGGTGCTTAGTATACGGTAAGTAGCGAGTATGCCTATATAAAGTTAACTCACGAAAAAAAGATGTGATGATTCTTATATTAGTGTTAAATAATGAATATCATGGCTTGGCAAAGTATCATTTTTTCGAGCAATGGAGAAATACCAAATATGGCAGTCTCTTTGCTGTGCTACAATTGTTCTTCCCAAGCAGTGTTCATGCTTGGCAACCTTTTTTGATGCTAAGCGTATTGATGTTTCATTAACATTTAGAATTGGCCTTCACATATGACGTAATGCAAGTCTATTCCAAGTTAAAACATTACTATGCCGTTAATGCAAAAGACTTCTGTAGGATGTTAAGAACAACGGCACGTTATACAACCAATTACGTAAGTAATATAAATCGAGTGTTGAAATGTACTGCTTTTTTCTAATACAATCTATCTCTTTCAGGCTTCTACTGACGTTTACAGGCGGTTCTTTATTGCATCCTGGCCTTTTGACTTTAAAGAACATTCAATAAACCATTGGCTATTTTTACCTGAACGTCTTAGAGAGTTCACTGCAGAAGAAGTTGGTTCGACGGGAAAAACTGTGCGTCCAGCATGTTTTAAAAACGATAAAAACGTGAAATTATACTAAAAAATAATAGGGATAAAAAGTCCGTATTTTATTTTTACTTACTTTCATTCGTTATATTAACTAACTTTGCATAGAATGGGAGATATTTTGCAATGGCCTCTTCTGAGCCAAGACGTCCTGACTCTTGTAAACCCTAGTTTCTGTTGCTAAGGACATTGTACGCCTCGTTTATAATTAGAAATGGTTATTGGCTTTTGTTCTATCGATATTATTATTCGTTTGACATGACATACTATCCAAAAAGACTATGAGACCCATATTAGCAGTCTAAGACATTGTAGAAACAAAAAGAAGAGGTATAGTCATTATAATCAATATAGTCTAAGACTTTCAAACTCTTCATCACGACGATTGTTAGCCAATAGCGAGTGATTTGACCCTGAAAATGTAACAAGGAGATTCTATTTAGTATAAATTCTATGCGTGTTTGCATGATCACATATTCATAGTTACCGCCGATTGTTTCTCTGCAGTCAGGACATCTGCTTATTTGCATTGCGCGTCCGCATCCGTCAATTGTATATGTATGTCCATTGGGGCAAGTATACCTACAGTATTAGTTACATTGAATAAGCCGCGCAACTACAATGCAATGATTTCGATAAGAGAGATAAATGTTGTGTAACGTGCGGCAAATACTTCGAGACAAAAAATATCCTTTCGTCCCTCTTAACACGCCAAGATTTCAATTCACCAAAATGTAAAGGATTTGCAAGATGTAAACTGGCAGTGTAAATGTCGTATGTAAATCCCCGTTTGGGGTGTAAATCCGGGATTTACAGATATTTTGATGAACCTTGTATTTGCTATTTAGCGAGCGCTAAGTTAAACCATGCGTAAATGAAGAAGAATCTTAATGTTAATGCTGGAAATAGACTTATTGAGGTCTTAAGTGATTTGAGTTAGAGTTAAGCAACAATCATACGTACCGAAAATACAGAAGGCAGGTCGAAAGGATATTTAGTACAACATGGTCGAGTTTTTTTGTCTCGAAGTATTTGCATCGCACACATTACACACCATTTATCTCTTATGAAAATCATTCGGAGGGACATGTCCCATGAAAGTTCAATGCCATCACTTACCAATGACCACTTCCGCTAAACTCTTCGTTCATTGCCTGAAATATTTGTAGCTTTTCCTTTTTCGTTAATACTCCCCCCCTGGCCAAATTCGTAACTTCTTCAATTTCTTTAACTATGTTTTCCATTCTGCTCTCACATTGGGTTTGGAAATGGTTGGCCTGAAGTTGGGGAAATATTTCATTGACCAGAATTTTGAAGCGATCGACGATCTCTTTACACTGTGCGATGGTATTCTTCCTCTCTTGCTCAATGGCATCATCGGACATCTTCTTGTGTTGGAGGTTATACCGGTAGAAACGGCATTGTGCTTCGGCCAGTTCAAGAGTGGCAGTAACGTACTGACGATAGTATTTCGTTTCCTCTGCTACTTTGATAATAGCATTCAGGTGGGATGTGGTTGATGCAAGAATGAATAGAGCAAATTTGATCCAACGATATCGAATATCACCGGTCAATTCATTATCAGTCAAT